ATGCCTTTACATGCGTCTCCTCCGTCAATTAAGGGTAGGCAACGCATCTGCGATTGCGGATGTTTATAGGCAGCGGTCGCTTTCCATTTCGATAATTTATTTAATCAGTATATGTAATTTGTTGTAGTTTTAAGCAAAACGATAAAACCTATTGACTACCTTTATTTTTTTTTTTAACAGTGTTTTCATTTGATTTTAGTGTTAACCTTTGTTTGTTATTACAAATGTTTAACATAACGCGAAATATTTTTTTTTACAAATAAGGTACATGTTATTTTTATGATTTAAAACACCGTCCGAAATTGGTTATCAGTAATCATAAATACAAATTAAATATTGGTTAAAAATTGTCACCTTTTACGATTTGTACAACGTAATTGCAGGTTATAAAGAAATTTTAGAATCCAGTCAATCCAGTATTTAAGATCTAAAATTAATCGATGTGAGTTTCGCTCTTTCAATAATTTTAAATCTGAAGTACACTTCCTTGTTACATCAAACAGACCGGGTTAAAAGCGTTGTGAAAATCTGTTATGTCCGAACTGTGTGTTCCTAATAATTTTTAGGCGGCAAAATTCGGGCGCCCTAATTTTGATGCCCTAGTATCTCGTCATCTTCTTTTGTCTAATTTATATTACAAACGATAAACTAAGATTAAAAGGATTCAAGTGCTTATTTAGAATAGACCTATCGAATGATAGTATTGATATTAGGGCAATACAAATTTTCGCAAAAATTGCGACAATTCGAATTACGAACGACTGGTTGTAGACATAAAATAGAACCACAAGTCAAAAATAGAGTTTCGGTTTTGGCAATTCATCATTCAACGGTTTAATTAAACTTGTTATAAAGCATAAAAGTTATTTTTATACTTTAAAATCATCGACGCTCGTCAATCGCCTTCTTGGCTACGCCAAAAGTTGGCTCGTAAAGAATGCCTAAAGGTTCATGTTATAGTATTCTGAGCATAATTATTACATTAAAGTAACGAAATTATTAGAACTAATCTGGGGACAAAATAAAGGTGAGTAATCCTTTACGATGTTTTAATTTTTCTTGATGTAATATTTCTATTATTGTGTTTGTTAAAAATTATGAAAAGAATTCAATTCTCTCCTTTTCTTTCACAGAAACTTAAGCCAATTTTCCTGGATATGGCCAAATTACGTTAAGTCTTAATATACACCCAGATTTGTACGGAAAATAATCGTAAAGCGAACTGACAATGGCAGTTGTACGTCAGCGGTGCGGCGTTGCGGCGGTGGGCATCTGGAAGGAATAATTTGATACAAGAGGCCGATTATCCCGCGCTAACTGAAGGCCAATTTGCTGGTGGGCCGAGCAGCGAGCTGAGCTGAGCGTGGCGAGCAGGGCGGGCGCGGGCGGGGAGCGCGGGCCAGCAGTCGCGTCGTGTCTGCCGAAGCGAACTGCGGCGGCATGTGGCGCAGCATGTGGCGCGCCGGCTGCCTCCTCCTGTGCCTAGTGCCAGGTAACACCGACATAAACCTCATACAAACCTTTTGCAACACATATACCTATCGCGGAACCCATCGCAGCTATTCTACGTAGGCGGATATCACCGTTTATATTTCAAATCGTAGCGTACGATCGCGATAATCTTCAAATCACAGTGCGATGTTCTCAATGTGTATTTCATTAGTTGTCTTCCATTCTTAAAATGTTTCATATTTTGAAATTGTGCAATATCCGGTTATTTTGTAAAATCTTAGAAGTGGTGAGTTCTTAATTTTGGAACATCATTTTTAACATGTTCATATTTAATAATATCAATATTGTTTGATGAAGTTTTGAAATGCATGTTGGTATTTTCATTTTCTAAAATAGTTAAAAACTTTATTTGCCCAATAGTTTGCGCGTGCCAACCATTACGTCTTGTTTATAACCACCTGTTAAAGTAAAACGCTCACTAAATCTTTCGTCTCATGCCAGTAGTTATAGTTTATTTACGTTGCATTTAGACCGCGGATATAAAAGTACAATGAGTCATGCAATATCTCATCGATATATTGTTTTTGATTTTTTTTATTTCAAAATCCTAGTTCAAAAGTTACCTGTGATAACCTACTAACTAATAAGACAACTATTTGGTAAACCGAAATAAAATATAGATAAAAGATGATTTTTGCATGTTATTTCTAAGAACTAACCAGCGCTTTGGTTAACAATAATCCTCTAGAGACTCTAGATATGGTAGGTATATTAGAGAGAAGGACCAAGAAACCTTCAACAAGATAAACAATAAATAGCAACATTGTAAGATTAGCGCCAAGTAATAATAATAATCGAGTAAACTATTATATTTAGTGCTAATCCATTATTATTAAACTAGCTTTTGACTGCGACTCTGTCTGAGTCAAAATAAAAAAACAAAAGTGAGTAGCCTTTGTGTTCTTCCCGACTATCTATGATATACTAAATTCCATCGAAATCCGATAAGCCGTTTAGGCTACAAACTGTACCAAACATCCATCCATCCATCTAAACTTTTGCATTTATAATAATTAGTATCATTGGGAAGGGACGTATCTCAGCTCTTGACAAGTTAGTTATTCTGTACGCAATGTATACACTAGTCCCTAATCGAGGTAAATTATCGAAAGACAGTCTTTCCTGGGCAGCCTCTATTTGTCACTTTTATCACGTTTTAGTATCCCGCAGTATAAACTCTTCATTTTACTCTGGTTTGGCCCAATCTACAGCCCTTTCGGATATACACGTAACAAAAAAAGAGTTCCGAGTCGACAAACTCTACTAACTTTAACTTTTGTGTATCTACACAAAAGTTAAAGATTAGATACGGTTATTCTTTAACTACTATTACCCTATGTCATATTGGAATATCGTTCGTGATATAAACAAACGCGACGCGACCTATTCCCGAATCATGAGTCGATATCCGGCTAGTCTGAAGCTGTTGACATCACCGATAAAAAAAAGTTGATAAACAATTTGATGTTCCCTATCTTGGGGTCAGTGGCTCTCCGTTTAATGTTATCTATATTCTATTATTAAATAGATAGTATTCGGTAAATAGTATGTATTATAAACAACAACATAATTCTCGCCTGTAGTCTAGATAGGTTAGCAGAGATTACGGATTTCCACGGTCCTGGCACATCTTTCTGACCATGAGGCCTGAGCACACATGTTTTGTATGATTGTGGTCATCCACAATTAGTCTTGAATAAAAGCTATAACCTGCCGCTAGGAATTAACACAAATGGAATTATATTGTGCTTGTCAATTTAAACAGAAAAAAATGTTCCAATTTTAAAGTGCATTCAATTACAAAGGTTTGAACATCGTCAGTCAATAAGTAAACTAAAGCATAAATATTTGTACAAGTTCAAAGTAAATCTTGCGAGCATAAATACACCTTCCTGTTTAGATTTTAATGGTGATGATAACCGAATGCAGTGAAAATAGTGAATCCTATTTTTTTTTTTAAGAATATCTTTATTGCTCTCTAATGTTAATTACATAAATCAGTGTTGCCTTGACTACTTAACTAGGGTTCCGGTTTTTTACTACTGCCTTTTTCTTTTCGGTCTTTTTTTATTTTATATCTTGTCACGATGAAGATCTTACCTGAAGATAATATGAAGTGAGGAGTTTTATTGTATTTTATTGTTAGATAAAAACAAAGGTCTTATTTTGTTTGATAATAATTAAAATACGTCGCGTGCCTGGCGTGCCCCAGTCGCAGAAGATCCGCCACCGACCGCGGTATTTTTAACATTCCCGGACCAACTCAAGGTTGCCTAAGATAGTCGCTTATTCATTGGGATATGACCCAATTTACCATAATATCTTATAAATAGAACTCATATCATTTGATTTTCGAAAGCTTACCCGCTTTCTAGGTCTACGACACCGTTTGCACTAACAATACTAGGACCTAAAAAAACATAATACGATTAACTTTACTAACAGACCAACTGCGTAAAAGATGAAACCTAAAACATGTAAAATCTTCAGGATTCAATAATACTAATATTGTAAACGCAAAAGTTTAGATGGATGGATGGATGTTTGTTAAAGTTTGTAGCCTAAACGGCTGAACGGATTTATATGAAATTTAGCATAGACGTAGAGAGTGGAAGAACAAATAGGCCACTTAGTTTTGACTTTTTTAATTCCACACGTACGGAGTCGCGGACGAAAGCTAGTAGAACTATAAAGAACACCTAACCATATTGTAGATAACCAGGATAATATTTTTTATGGACATATATGATAATTCGTATGCTTCTGTACGTAAAGTTACATGTTATAGGTTAGGGTAACAATTCGTGATAATAAGACAAAGGGAAATCTTGCAGTGTAATACGTACTTAAATTGTACGTAAGTGTTTAATACATAAATTACATACGTGGGTGCTATTGCCGTTTTAAATAAAAGATGAATGTCATTTTTAACTGCCCTAAACTCTATATAATAGAACTGATCCGTTACACGAGTTAATCTGTTAAGAATGTGCGCGTGCTCGTATTGTTAGACGGCACAAGCGAAGCTCTAGCTAGCCGATTTGCTTCATGCCATAAAAACAATCGATTGCTTTCATATATCTAGATATATATTGTGTATACGGAATACACATTGTACTACGCAATTGGGCAAATGGTATTATGTTTGAAATAAAATATTAGACAGATTAATATGGCAGTACGTATTATTTTGTTATTTGTGGATTTCTTCACTCTCATACATTTTACTTAAGCCTATGAAAAGAACTATTGATAAAAGCATATTTTTATTTTTCAGTTACACGGCAGATATCGATCACCGAGTTCTCAGTGCCTCACGCGGTGCAGGCGGGAG